ACATTTGTTTCTTGTCAGTGGATCTGCTTTTTGGGCGAAGGGCGCGTTTGAGGGATGTGGGAGAGCAGATTGTTTATTATTGTTATTACTGTTGCCGGTGGTGCAGTTGAGTCTGCATTCTCACCCTCGCCTCCTTCTTGCCCCCACGCAGAGGAGTCCGGCCATTGCGGGGAGCCCTAGCGACTGCGACTTGGCTGGTTCAAAAAGCGAGGGCCCTGTTACCGCGTCCTCTTTTTTTTTTCGAAGAAATTTGCTTCTCCGGGCGTGCGGTGCACCTCCTGCGAAGGGGCGAGGGGTGTTGGGTGCCTGCCGAGCTCAATCAAGTGGCATCCCCCGCCCTTGTGCCCTTTTCTCTGCAGGAGGTGGGGACGGAGGCGGCATACGGGCACATCTTCTTGCCTCTTGGTTATGTTTTTGCGTGTGTGTTTTTTTGTTTTTTTTTTGCATGACGGTTTTATTACTCTGTTGGGTCCATCGCTGAGTTGGATGCCTTTCTCCCTTTTTGTGTGAGCGTGTCTGCTTCTATTCTTTTTTTTTCTATTTGATGTTTTTTTTTTGGCAGGGTGGGAGGTTTACAGCGTCATTTGAGGGTTACTTTGCGCGTTACACGCACGACCCCACCAGACGTGCCCCAAATTTTTTTTGTTTCGCTTCGTTTTCTTCTTCTCTTGATTTGCTTCTGCTTCCGCTGCTTTCTGTTGTGGAGCCATTGCGCGTTCCTTGCGCACCCTCCAACGATAGGGTGTTGTGTGCTTGTGTGCCCGTGTGAGGTGTGGCTCTGTCAAGATGCGCCCCTCAGGGCTTAGCAACAGGCATGAGCGGGAGTTGGCGGGGTCGGAACCCGTTTTGATCGGCGTCGGCCGCGCGGAAGCGCAACTCCGTAGGGAAATGGACGGCGTCACGAGCGCCCTTTTACAAAGGCAGCAGCAGCGATGGCTGGCGTTTGGCCGAGAGCGCGCGGCTGTGCGTGCGCGCGTGGATCGAGGCATGGGGGAGTTGTTGGATGGAGTTGAAGGCGTTGTGCCGCCGTGCGTCCTTGACCCACCCATCCTCGCGGAAAGTCCTTGCCCACCTCTTCCACCGCCTCAGCAAGTGGATGCAAGGTGTGCAAAGCGTGAGGCAGGGGTGCTGCCGCTGGCAGCTTTGTCTGCGCCTGCTGGGGGGAAGCGGGCCCTCGTTCCGTACGGTGACAACAGCGGCAAACTGCGAGTTGCCGCGGAGGAACTGACATTTCCGCAGGTTTGTTTCATGTCTCCAGGTGGGAAGGGCGCGCCACCGCGAGGCTTCCCTTCTCCGTTTGAGAGCTCTGGTTTCCAATGTGTGACGCATTGGGCCGAAACGAGCCTTCAGGAAGTCTTACTTACTGCATTAGGGCCACGCTCTCAGCGGGAGCGCAGAAACCAAGATGAGCCTAACGGTCGTCTTCTTGTGGGGGTGGCGTGTTACTTGCTCAATGAACTCCTCATTCGTGAGCCAAAGCTGTCAAGGGTTTGGCCACAACTTCGGGAAGTGATCTTCAGGGCCATTTTTCAGCCGCCGGTGTATCCTCTTCCTCCAGGAGTTGAGAGGGTTGTGGGGTCGTCCTATCCCCCTTTCGAGGGGCGTCAGGCCTTCGAGGCGCTGAACTTGTGGTCCGGCGCGTTCCTTGCCAGCCGCGCCGAGAACGCTCGGTTGTCTCAGAGGATTGAGGACTTGAAGAGTGTCGTGGAGAAGAGTCGACTCATTCTCCGTTTTGCGCAGCGGCGGGTGGATGAAATGCTTGTGGGGAATTTCTTTCGTGCGTGGCGGAAATCAACTCAGCGACAACGGTGTTTTCGTGACTCCGCGACGGCGTACTTTACGCGTATGCGGCAGCGTATCCGCCTGGAGGTGTGCTTTTTGCGCTGGCGACGCGTTTCGGCCCAATCACAGGTGGCAGAGCTGCTGAAGATGGTGAAGGAGTCTGAAGTGCGACTGGCGTTTCTGGAGGGCTCCAACACGAAGCAAGTAAACACCCTCTTGGAGCAACTCAAGGAGGAACAAAAGGCGAATGCCATTCTTGAGCTGAAGAAGGAAACATTAAAGTCGCAATTGGCAGAAGGCCACGTGATTGCCCTGCGTGCGATAGATAATGAGCTTCAACAGCAGCAGGCAAATATTTTAATGGCGAAAAAGCAGGGCAAACGCTGGGAACGCCTTGCAAAGACATTTTCATGTAGCACAAAATTTACGATGGTTCCGCCATCGTTACGAAAGTTGGGTGTTGCCTTGCGGCGTGTCGAGGAGCAATGCGCCTTGCGTATACAATTAGTAAACGATTGGGCGAAGGAGGCACGCCGTTCTCTGGAGTTGTTTTTGCTTGAGTGGGTGAATTGTTTCATGAAAACCACCATGACGGATGTCCCCTGGCACCCTGTGGTAAAGATTTCCACCGGCTTTGAGAACGGGGATTTTGGTCCTGGGGCCTTGTTGCAGCTTGTGCGTGCGTTGGAATCGGCGTACCTTGGACGAGGGGTGCACTGCGCGCCGTTTCCCTCCTCGGCGGCGAAGCGCGAAGAGTCTTTGGATTCGGTGAAGGCCGACGATGGCGCGGATGCCTCCGTAGAGGCGTCGAATGATGCACTTTTCACTGAGCTGCGACGCTTGCTCTACCTGCAGACGATGGAGGGCCTCTATCCCCCACTGCTCTCTTGCTGCACCTTCCTGGAAAGCTTCTTTGGCCCCGCAGTCTTCTGTCGGGTGCCGCACCCCACCGCCATGTTGTGGGTCCTCGCCTCCCTCTTCGTTGGGTATACACGTCTCGCCTGCGGTGATGCTGTGCAGTTGGAACACGGCCTGGACGCCGCATTGCGCTGCCCGGAGGAAGCGGCGCTTCAGAATTACTTCCTGATGCCGCGTTTAGTGGCGAATGAGGCGGCGGCGACGAAAGACGGCACACGTGCTGGGTATCGTGGGGGGCGTAGAGTCAGTCGTGCGTACGTGATCTCAAACAATACCACCATACAAAAGCACCCGCGCTCACGGCAGTGGCGCGGAGAATTTGCCCGCAAAAGACGTGAGGAGGAAGAGATGGACGAGGCAGCGGCCAAAGATAGGGAGCGACTGGCAGATACGCTCTCTGATCTGGAGGTGTACCTGGGGCTTGATGACCAGGAGGACGAGGACAGTGACAGTAGCAGCAGCAGCGAAGAGGGCGGCAGTGCCGCGGCTGATAGCAATGCTGAAGGTACAGGGACAGCGCTCTCCACGGCGCATGCCTCCTCCGACACGCGAGTGGAGACGCCAAAGCAGAACGCAAACGCTCTGGACGAAGAAAGACAAAGACGCGTGAACCGGAAGGCACGCCTCGTCCCGCCCATGAATGAGTCCATGTGTTCATTTTCGTTACGGGAGTTTGTGGAGTACCACCATCGGGCGGCGAAGCAGCGACGAGTATGGATGGGGCTTTCCCGCGTGGTTTCCTCGTTGGTGGTGCGCTTCTGTGTACTGGACGTTGGAGCCCCGGTGCCGGAGGAGCCAAGGCCGCTCCCTAACCGGAGAAGCTCAACCTCACGACCGCGACCGCCGTCCGTGTCGAATCGCACGGTTTCTATTCGCCAGTCACGGAGGTCCATTCGATTGTTGCCTTCCTTTTCTTAGGAAGACGGCTCCTGCGCCTGACACTATAGGCACTGACGTGTTTTTATTCCTATTGCTGTGCTATGAGATGGATGCTTTACCCATCCTTTTTTGTCGTTGTTACCGTTTTTTCTTTCCTTTTTCTTGGTCTGGAGGTGTACCTGATGCCTCCTCTTTATGTTTATTAGACTCTGAGGGAAGGCGGGGGTTGCTCCAGAGATGTACATCGTTGACGAAAAGCGTTGGTGCGCCACCCCCTTCCATGTCATGTGACGTGGCACTGCGCAGATATTTCACGCTTCTTTAGGGCGCCACGCACCTACATTTTACTCATTTGTTTTTTTCTCCCCTTCTTCTTGTGTGCGTGTGTGTGTGTGCAGATGCTACTGCTCATGATGAAAGCACCTTGCTCTCTCTCTCTCGCTTTTTTTTTTCTCTCTCTCTGTATCTCTGCTCGTCTGCCTCGCAGGGGCCGCAGCAGGATTCAATATCTGCGTCCCTGCCAGCTGTGGCTCGCTGTGTGTTCTGTCACTCCGCCACTTTCTCCTCTTCGCCTCTCCTGCGATGAGTCTGCCTCCAAGAAACGGGGAGGGAGGTGGCGGTGAAACGGCGCGTCACTGAGGAAAGCAAACCCCAAAACAAGGGAACACAACTAACAGGGCAACACTCACCAGCGCGGCGTTGACGCGTCACTGCATTACCGCGGATGCCGAAGGAGGACCTCAATGAGCTTCTCAACGTGCCCGTCCCGACGCATAGGATCGTGTCGGACAGGGATCGACGGACAGGGAAGGCTACTGCACTGCGTTCCCGCATGCACCCTATTCCAGTGACGGGTTACGACGATAGGCCGACGGAGGTGGCGCGACGAAGCAGGAGGCAGCAACTCCGAGCTGAGATTATTGAGGAGCTTGAAGGTAATAAGCCGCATCGCCGCAGTCATGTGACGTTTTTCCAGGTCTTGTTTGTCCTGCTAGTCGTGGGACTGGCATGGGCGGTCTCCGTGTACGCGCCGGACTTCGCCCCGCTGAGGAGGCTGTTGGGCGGTTGGTGGCACCCCAGCGGCAACGGAGGCTAACACATGTGGAGGTGACGGCGGTGCTCCTAAGCTTTGCGAACCACTTCTCTCTGAGAGCAGAACTCGCTTCCATTATTCTGACCACTATTTCATTAGCCTGCACGTGGAAGCGAAGCAGAGAGAAGAAAAAAAACGAAGAGAGAAAGAGAGACTGTGCGTGTGTGTGTCAATATCACCATTACTGCTTTGCTGAAGCCTCGTGCACTATAACCACCAAGGCAGCAACGACAGACGGAGTTAAGAGGTGATAACGGGAACCGGTGAGAGTGAGGAGGAAAGTTTCCTTCTATGGTTTTTAGTCCCCATATATATTATTATTGCTATTATTATTATTATACCTCGCGCTCTTTCTTTCTTTCTCTCTCTCTGTGTGTGTGTGTGCGTATTAGTCATGTCTCTGCGAGACGAGTGGTGTCGCCTCGTGGAGGAAGTGGCCGGCATCAACAACACCGATCCGCTGCCGAGAGAGTACACACCAGTAGAATACCTGCCGGGCGGACGCGACATACCAGAGGCGGTGCTGCAGCATGTCCGCTCCGCCGCCGCCGAGTTTGATGCGGAGGCGCGTGCACTCTTTCATCCGCAAATGACGCCTGAAGAGGGGTATCGTGCGGCACCGGTAGTGACTCGGCAGGGCGCCTTCTCCTCCTCACTTGTTAACCCGGAGGAGAACGGCGGTAACAACAACGGGGAGCAGGAGAAGAGCAACAATAATAACCGCAGTGGAAGCGGCAACGACAAGAAGCTACTCAAGTTGAGCTCTGAGGGGCCGAACTTCTTTGAGGCTTACCGTAGACATGCGACGGCTGCGGCTGCGGCGGCTGCTGCGGCCGTGGCAAAAGGGAATCGCGACAGCGTCTCCGCGGCCGTCGCCAATGCCGCATCCGCGTCTGGTGTTGCCCGATCCCTTGGCAGTGCTTCTCGCCTTGCCTCTGGCTTTCTGCTGCCAGAGTACTACACCCAGAAGCACCGCCAGCCCGATTTTATTCCCGTCATCCTCGTTCCTGCCTCCGTTTCATCTCTTTTGCAGCTCTTTAACATTCGAGAGTTTTTGGAGCGGGGTATCTATATTGACCCACCCACGCTTTTTGTGGATGCCGAGACAGGGGCCGTGAATGTGCAGGAAAGCAAGCCAGACACCGTCATCCTGTCCCCTGGTAGCTTCTTGGATGCTGAAAAATACACCGTGGCGTATAAAATGTTTCGTGTGGTGGATGACCCCAAACAGGTAAAAAATTGGCAGCATGTGTGCGCCTGCATAGTGGATGGACACGAATGGCAGTTCCGTGGCTGGTTTCCCAACGAATCCGCTCCTATACCAGTGAGTGAACTCTTTCAGCGCGTCTGTGGCTTCTTACCCTACCTTGAGGAGGAGAAGTTGCCCACGGCATTGCAGCAGTGGCACGTCAAGCCACTTCCGCTGACGCGTCGTGTTGTGAAATCGCACGCGCACATTCTTCAGGCTTCTATCTTCTGGGAGCACTTGTACACGTTTTTGGAGACGCACCCATTTTTCAAGCTCTTCACGGTGCCGCTTGACTGACACTCCGCCCCGCACCTCTCGCTGCTGTTACGGCGGCGGTAGGCGAACACCGTCCCTCCTCCTTTGGGAGTCCACGATGGAGACGAGGGAGGAGGGAGAGGCAAAAAAAGAAAAAAAAAGAGCACAGGGCGGTGATGCGGTTGGGCTCATTGGATGAGGTGTGTAATAAACTGCAATAAACCCGAGGGAGAAGAAGATAGAGGAAGACAACAACGCAAAGAGACGTAAAAAAAAAAGCGAAATAAAAAGAAGCATGACGGCGAAAGCACCCATGAAATTTGGACCCGATTATGCTGTCTTTTGCCTCTGTGTGTGTGTGTGTTTGCCTCGCCGGGAGGTCAACGCTGCGGAACTTGCATGAATGTGCGTGTGTTTGTGTGTGTGAAAGAGCGACATTTTTTTTTTTGCGGCTACAAGGCCTCTTCCATGTTGTTTCGCCTTCCCTTTGTGTCCTGCTGGGTTAACTCCACATATCCACACACAGAGGCGGGCAGACTGACACCCATAACTGGAAGAGAGCAACAGATACCACGGGAGACATCCGTTATTTTATCCTGTTAATCCATTTTGTTGGCTTTATATTTATATATATTTTTTCTTATTTTTTAATTTTGTTGTGTTTTCCGCTTCTCAGTTTCCTCTGCATTCTTGTGTATTGTTCCGTGGCATCTGAAGCGGCAGCGGAAGCCGGAACATGTTTCGTCGTATTGCTCGAAGCACCTCTTTCATTGCGGCATGTCAGTCCCGCCACACGACCATTCTTTCTGTGCGGAAGGGTGACACAGTCGTGCTTATTGGGGACCGCCAGGTCACCCTCGGCGAGCGCATTGTGGCCAAGTCCAGCGCCTGCAAGCTGCGGAAAATCAATGATGATATCGTGATTGGCTTTGCTGGTAGCACCGCGGATGCCATCGCGTTGATGGAAAAGCTCGAGAACAAAGTCGGCGAGTTTCCGAACCAGCTCACCCGTGCGGCGGTGGAGTTGGCGAAGGACTGGCGCACCGACCGCGCGCTGCGCCGCCTGGAGGCTTCTCTGATCGTCTGCGGCCGCGAGGAGACGCTGGAGATTGACGGCCAGGGGAACGTCATCACGCCGGAGAGCGACGGCATCGTGGCGATTGGGTCGGGCGGCACGTTTGCCAAGGCGGCGGCGCGGGCGCTGATCGACGTCGACGGCTACGATGCGGAGAAGATCGCCCGCAAGGCGATGCGCATTGCCACTGAGATTGACGTCTTTAGCAACGAGCACTGGGACGTCGAGATCCTCGCGCGGCGCCCGCCAGCCCCCGCAGCCGCCGCGCCCGCAGAGGAGGAGAAGAGCGCCTGACGTTGCGAGGCGCCCGCCGAAGTTGTTGGCGTCTATGGGATGGGCGGGAGTGAGGGAGAAACAAGAAAGAAGGCAACGGGGGGGGGGAACAGAAAACACACGAAGGAAGGAGAAAGAGAAAGGAACTCAAGTGAAAAGAGAAGGAAAAACCAGACGGGTAATAACGACGAGGGGGAGAAGCAACAGCAACAACAACAACAACAAAAAAAGTCTGGAGATACCCGAAAACGAACAAAGGGGGAAGAAAGACTAAAAAACAACAACAACAACTTGAAATTAGACGGCGGAACGGATGAAGGGAGGCAGCGGCGCACAGTGTGGCGCTCAAACCTTTGACATGGCATGTGTGTGAGTGTGTCTGAATCGGCGGAACCGTGTCAGCTCACAGTCGAGGTCCCCTCCCGCCTTTGTTTTTGACGTGTTGTTCTCTTTGCAACTCAACGGAGCTCCACCCCCTCCCAAAATATTTGACGACATCTCGAATGGCGTCAGCGTCACACTCATTCACCCCCACCACAAACAAGAAAAAAAACAACAACCAACAACAAACACTTCCCTCTTCACGTGCGCAAGAGGGTGGGGAAGGAGTGTTGTTTACGGCTCGCGTGCACACAGAAAAACTGCTATACAAATACTTTATATACAACATATATATATATATATGTGTGTGTACTATTTATATGTATATATACATGTGTAAGTTTTGTTTTGATTACCTCCTTTTGCCTGACATTCAGATAGTTAGGTGAGCCTCAATGGTCAACGGCGTCGGAACGGCTTCTCGCCAGGAGGGTGACTGCCACCAGCGGATACTGGGAGCGGCGAAGACGACGACAGCAGCAACGCCAGTGATGATGATGCACCGACGGAAAGCCGTACATCCGCCACCATACTCCCAGTCTTCTTTGCAAACATCGAGAGCGACAGAACGGCGTAGTGAAGCTCGGCGGTACGGCGCGTCTCCTGCATGGCGCAAAGAGGGCTCTTATTCACCGACGGAGACGGGTCTTACAATGGAAATACTGGACTTTGTGTCGTACGTTTCGCTTAACGCCGAGGAGAGACTTCGGCGCGAGGAGTTGATTACAACAGTACGACGAGTTGTGACGGAGCTTTGGGGCTCGGCAGCACGTCTCGTTGTGTACGGCAGCTACGCCCTGGATCTCTCTATTCCGTCCTCGGATGTTGACCTCACTATCCTCTTTGATGACGACAAGTCCCCAGTTGCATCGGCTGCTCACGGTGACGATGCAATTGGGGTGCAGACACGACGTCTGCGTCGTCGACATCAACTCGCCCAGCGCCTTACATCGATGGGATTTCGTGTAAATGTATATGATTTCTGTCGTGTGCCCGTTCTCAAGCTTAGTGACTCCTTCAGTGGACTTTCATGTGATATCAACGTCTCTGAAATTAATGCTGTAGAGCAGGTGGTGTCGCGGCAGCGGGAGTGGCTCTCCAGCAGCGCAGAAGCACGTGAACTTATCCTCATCACGAAGGCTGCTCTTAAACAGTGGGGGCTAAATTCGTTGTTTCACGGAGGCCTCTCCGCGACGGCTCTCTACATGCTTGTATTTCGCTTTTTGGAGCAGGGCGCGGGGCATGGGACAGCAACAACAACAACATCGCCAGCGCCTCATTTGACGGCACGACGGCTGTTGAATTTCTGGCGTTACGCCTCATCGGATGTTTTTTTTAATGGCTACGACGTACATGACGCGTTTGCCGTAGATACAGACGGGGCCTCGTTGGAGGCATCGCCGACGGCTGACAGCGGGCCCGCGCTGGTTCGGGGAAAGGTAGACCTCAGCGCTGGCTCATTCCGACTGCCGGAGGTGTTGGCGCTCTTCCGCCACTCCGCCTTGGCCCTTGAAGACGCCATGGCGCGGCACTCACTTGCGCGGTTCGGCAGCGGTGGTCTAAGTGACATCTTTGCCGACCCTCGCAGGGACGCCGCAGCAGCTGCCGCCTTCGTGACAGCGGCCCCCCACGCGCGTGGTGGCGGATGACGCCCTTGCAAGGACGCATCCGCGGCGACGGTGAGCACCGAGCACGTGGGCGTGACGGTGTTTCCTCCGCCCCATCACCTTCTCCCTTCGCCTTTCAATCAGAGCAAAGAGCGGGCGCCAAATTTTCCCTCTTGCGTGCTTTTGGGGTTATGACGGTCCCGCCTAAGTGTGGTTGTTGTGGCCGCACTTCCAAGGTTGTAAGTATATTAACTCGTATAAGCATCGATCTAAAGCGCTGAGGATGGGAAATTGAAAAAAAAAAGAACACACACACACACACATACATCACACCGTGAGACGAGAATGACATTACTAAACTCTTTGAACTTAAAGAAGAAGAGGAAAATAGAGGGAACAGATACATGCTTACGGTTTAATTTTTATGGCAACGGTAAGTTTTTTTGTTTCTTCCTGTGTGGTTGTATGTGTTAGAGCCCCCCCCCCCGTTTTAATATTGGTTCTAAGTTGTACTATGTTATCCATTCGCTTTTATTTCCGCCCCACCCCCCAGCAATTTCCTTCATTGCGCTCCTGCAACGTGTTGCTGTGAGGAGAAGGGGGAAAAAATATGATGTGGTGAAGTTGTCTCCGTCGCACTTGATGCACTTCCACTGTTGTGGTTGCCACTGTACATGTGCCTTTCTCTGCGTAGATAAGGCCGCTCTATAGTTCCGCATTCCTACTCTCTGGCTCGCACGCTTCTGCTAGTGTTGGGTTGCTGGGGGACAAACAGCAGCAACAGCAAGAATGCGGCTGTAGTGTTGCTTCTTTTCTTACTGCACTTTTTTTTTTCTCTCCCTTCTCTCTCTCCTTTTTTTTGTGTGTGTGTGTTGTTGTTGCCCTTGTGGAGTGGAACAATATTGAATTTTTTTTTTTCGGGACAGAGAGGAGGTAGGCAGCCAGAAAAGATGGTATTACAAAACATGTACGAAGGCTGGTCGTACGAACGCCTTCGGCAGCAGAGAAACCGGGCACATTTTCTCTTGGAGGATCCCTACCGCTTTGTGACTGTTCTACTGCACAGCGGGAAGCTGTACTGTATTGACAGCCCGTGCTATCACGCCTCGGGGCCGTTGGGTGAGGGGGAACTGATTGATTTGGAGGACGCCCACACGGCCTCCTCCGTGGCGTGTCTGCGCTGTCCGTGGCACAACATTCTTGTGGCGATTGAGACGGGCGAGCTTGTAGAGGCGGAGCCCACCTCCCCCCTCGCCTCCGCTCCTGCGGAGGACGAGGGAAAGCTAGAGCTGCCGTCTTACCCCCTGCGGCCCCACTGGGAGGCCTCTGGGGGCCGCGTACGGCTGACACGCGGGGCGGTGGTGCAGCGGACACACAAGGTCGTGCTGGATGAGGCTAGTGGCATAATGACGATTGAGGTTGAGAACGAGTCGGTGATGCTGCGGCATCGCCTCCCCTCCGACGCCGTTGCGGGCAACCTGCAGAACGGCGCTCTCACAATGCAAATATTTGACATCAAGTCAAAGGGCTTGAGTTGATGGCGTAACTTTTATTTACCGAGTTTTTTCCTTTCCTTTTTTTTGTTTGTTTTCTGTGCTTCTTTCCTTTTGGCGCTTCTGCCTCAGGCGGGAAGCGGGGCCCTCCCCTCCCCGGGCCCATGTGTGCTGTCGCCGTCAGTGCCGACAATGTTCACCTTCTCTCGCGCGCTCCCTCTCTCTCTCTCTCTCTGTGCGCGTCCTCCGCTCGTTGACTTGGGCGCAGAACACACCGCCGGTGACACCGAGTTTTACATCCATCGAAAACAAACACGCAAAGGCTGCGCGGGGGCTGTTTCAAGGCTGTTAGAATACAATAGCAGTAGCAGAAGGCGGTAGTGGAGAACCCCGCGAACATACACAGGCGCACGCCCGGGAGCAGGCAAACACGTATATATAGAAAGAGAATACAAGCGACAACGAATAAAAAGGGACGGTAACAGGCAAAACGACACGGGGACGCGGGTGCGAGCGGCGCAAGCAAATAAAACATTCAATAGGAACAACTATACAAGACCCAGCAGAAAGAGAAAAGGCGACGGTGGATAAGTAAAGGAAAGGAAAAAAAATTTAAAAAGATGAGCCAAACTGAGTTATTCACGGACCTCTTCGAGGAGGAGGCGCAGTCGTTGGGAAAGGCGCTTTTGGCATTGACTGCCGTTGGTTATTTCGCGTTTCAGGAGAATGAGTCGACGCTTTTTCGTCGCGATGACGTCAAGTACGCCATTGACGCATATCTACCACAAGGGTATGACCGCGGCATCATCGCCTCCCGTGCCAACCAGCGACTCGCGAAGAGTCTCATAGTCAATGGGCTACATCTCAACTCCGTAAAGGAGCAAGTGCAACTTGCTGTTGGACGTGAGGCAAAGCTAAAGGCTCTCTCGGAGCTCTTTGCTGCGTCACTCGCGAGTATTTTATGTGCTGCGCATATACATAGCTTAACCATAACACTGCATGTTGTTAAAAACATGGCGTTGGTGTTAGTCTATGTCCTGAGAAAGCGCGAGGCGCGTCGCGGTGGGACGGTGGTTTCAAAGCTTCGTTCCTGGTGGTCAGGTGGCACGCAAAATCTTGTGATGGAAACACTTGTTGAACACTTACAGCGACAGTTTGAGGCTTCTCCCTTTGCACAGGCAATAGATGAGGACACGATAGCGTCAGGGGATTTACTGCGTTGCCTCTCCGTAGAGACACTCTTGAAGCTGACTGTTCCTCGTGTGGTGGAGGCTGCCCAACTGGCGGTGAGGGCCGCACTAAATCGTCGTCCCCCGCACATGTTTAGTGTGACGGGCATAGTAACGGGCGGGGACCTGCGGGAATTACTGGATGGGCTGAGCGAAGACATGGAGTCCCGTCTGGCGTGGTCGGACTGGTTCACACCACCGCCCTCGTCTACGTCCTCGCAGTTACTGTCACCACGAGGGCAAAAGGAGTCGCTAGGGACGAGCAACGCTGAAAACAAACTCACGGACGCGGGGACGTCTGATTCTGACGTTGAAAACGGCATCTTCAATTACCCGGCAGGGTCAACCGCCATTTTGCCGGATGGCTTCTCCTCTTCAATGCGAACGCAGCGGGATCGCGCCGTCCTGGAAAGTTTCTTTGGCCCTCAATCTGAGGAGGATTCAGAGGTTCGCGCCGCCCGCGAGGAGGAGCAGCGTCGTGAGCAGTTGGCTCGAGAGCAATCGGCGAGTTTCTTCCACGAGTTGATACATAGTGCGTCCTTCAACGAGATTTGCATTGCCCACGCCACGGAAGTACTCGAGGACACCAAAAAATCGTTGACGGACTTGCGTCGCGTTGGTTCGTATGACGCGATGACAGACTCTGCCAAGATGATACATGTGATCACGTCCCTTGAAAATTACCGTCTGCGGCTGTTGGACCGCGACTTTAACGTGCCCCTGTATCTGCAGCTCTTTTGTCAGGAGACAGTGAGGGCGACGTGTGGAAGCCCGTGAGGGGCACGAGCGTTCGGGAAGCACACGCACACGCAAAATAATAAAGGCAGCATGCGCTCTGCGTCTCGCTTGCCTTTGATTTTCTGTGTATGGTTTTCTTTTCGAAGTGGGTGCGGAGAGACAAAGAGGTGGTGGTGCATGCGTGGCGCATACAGATGTGTTTTTTCCTCCACTCCTTCCGTCTATCCAAGTACGTGTAATGTATGTCGTTTGTGGAAAGCAACATTGAAAGCGGCGGAGGCAATGCATGCGTAATTCTCCGTGTATGCGTAGAAAACGTTTCTCTCGCTGTCACTTTGAGTGGGTGGGCTGTGGGAAGGCTGGAAGGCATGTGTGTGTGTGTGTGTGTGATTTTTATTTTTATTTTTGCTACGTGTGGCGGAGTTTATTTGCTCGTTCCTGCAATTTTTTTTTCGTGTTTTACCACCCCACCATCGCCTCTTTCCCTCTCTGTTCCAAGCAGCGTGGGAGGGGGTGTGACGGATACTGCGAGTAGAGAGGGAGAAAAGGAGGAAAGAGGCGCGCAAGCAAACAACGACAAGTTCAAAAGGCTTCCACAAGTGCAAAGCAAAACGAGTGAGCACAGTGCAGGATAAAATAAATCGCCCCAAGTGCAAGTGTGTGGTTGCCATGGAGAGCAAGCTGCATGCGTGGGATTCTCTGCGGAATGATGCCCGTCAGGCTGACAGTGTCATCGAGCGGCAACTGACAGTGCTGGAAAGCATTTCGCGCTTTGGCGAGAATAATGGCAGCAGCCATGAGTTCAGGAAGACGGGGAATGGGGCTGCGCCGTCGGTGGCGCAGATAGAAATGGCGCAGCGGGAGTTTGACCGGCAGCGCAACGAAGTTGAAATGTCACTGCAACGCTTTGAATCCCTCTTAGTGACAATGGCGGATACCGCCCGCGCCTTGCCGCCGGAGTCCACTGCACAAAGTCACACTGAACGTTTTCTGCAGCTTGCGGCAGAGAAGCGGCGCACCGTGGCACGCCTCACAGCAGACTTTAAACGCCGCCGTGAGTGGGCGGAGTTGATGCCAGGCGTCACGAATGATCTGGAGACGCACCGGGAGGGGGAGGGGGTACGGTTTCTCATGGAAGAGCAGGATTCCCTGCGCCACACCCAGCGAAGATTGAATAATATACTTAACCAAGCCGATGAGTCGCGGGAGCAGTTGCGTGGGCAGCGTGATGCATTTACGCGTATGGAGGATCGTGCTATGCGGATTGCTCTGCGGGTTCCTTTAATCAAAAAGGTGCTAGGCCGCATTGACAGTAGGCGACGCAGGGAAGCCGTCATCTTGGGAGGGGTGATTGGTGCATGTGTGCTTTTGGTGATATTCTTCTGGTAGGAGATGGATGACCTTCTGCTGCCGCTTCTGCTGCCGCTGCATCTGCCGCTGCTGCTGCTGCTGCTGCTGCTGCTGCGACGGGTGTCTTTTTCCCGACTGTCAGCCCGCCCTCAGCACGGGGTACCTCCATTTGCGCGTTTGTTGTAATTCAAATGAATTCTCTGTTCCTTTTTGTTTTTTATTATTTCTTTCTTTCTTTCTCTATGACGACGCGCTTCCTTCCTCTTGCCCTTTGTCTGTGCGCCGTGATCTCCGTGAAGTTGCGTGGGGCCTGCACTCCGCGCCTTTGAAACGAATACATACACACACACACACACACACACACGTGGCACGATGCCAGTGAAGGTGGGGAAGGGTTCCGCGGCTAAGGGGGCGAGAGGGGCCCGGAAAACGCCGGAAACGATGGACGTTTTTGCATCCTTCACCTCCCAGCTGGCCGTGATGCAGGACCACGGCGGCGGTGCGGTGAATGGCACCCCGCAGAAGGTGAGAAATGCGAGCAACAACAAACAAAACGGGAACCATCCGAGTGGCGGCGCGATGAGGTCCACTCCGCGCTTCTTCAGGTCCCCCGCACTCCCAGAAAAAAGGAATGAGTCACACTGTGCCCTTCCCACCGCTGGAGAGTGTCGCAGGAGCATTGGTTTGCTGCGGCGTCTTTTGTTTAAGAAGGCTCCGGAAGACGCGAGGACACCGGTGGAAAGAAGTTCTCTGTCGGAGCCATCGTATGACCTTGCGTCTACGACTTTGGAGGAAGCAACAACAGCAACAGCAACAGCAACAGCAGCAGCAACAACAGCAAACTCGACATCTGAGAAGGAACGAAATAATAACGCTACGGTGGGTTTATTGGAGCAAGATGAGGTGGAAAATGTGCCACCGCCGCAGCAGCTGCCCAATAGTGAAGCAAGTATGGAACTTGATGCCAACCAGTTGGCTAGCCACAACATTCCATCCGAGTGCTCTAGCCTGAACTCTAGCATTGCGCAGACGCCGAATGCTGCGACGGAGAAACTAAACGTGGAAAAGGCTTTGCAGGAAACTACAGATCCGCAACAGCCAAAAGGGGAGAATGGGGGTCTTTGCACCTTCAACTTGAATGAGGCGGAACCCTTCACAGTCTACGATGAAGAAGATGAGGAGGAGGCAGTGCACCAGTACCTTGAGAAGCGCCAGACGGCAAGCGATGCGTGGGGAGATGAGAAAAGGGAGGCTTTTACACTGGATTCCATGGTGGATTTGACGTCTAAAACGTCATTGGGTGCAGAGAGTGTTTCAACAGGGCGCCATTGTTCTGCTCGTCGCAAGCGGCATCTTCCGTGGAGATTGTTGAGTGGACAACCCGTCATGACGGCAAAATCGCGTGATATAACGAATCATCATCGTTCCATTTCACGGGGCTCACAAGAGTACATATCAGATGCTGTTTGCCGCTCCATGAGTCTGTACAGTGCGTTTTTTCTGGATGATGCGAAAAAGACTTGGCGCGTTGACGACCTTGTCCTTGCACGGAGCCTGGAATACGTTGGACTCATGGGATACCAACAATTGATGCCAGTTCAAGACCAAGCATCGCAAGATGCGCCGTCAGCAATGATAATGGGCAAGTTGGCCTCACCTATTACGCGTGCAACAAATGAGTTGCAAGGTGGTGTTGGTGATATGCCTTCGACTCGTTGGGTTTTAACTGGGGCACCGTGTAGAAGGGCTGAAACAACAGGTGCCTCCAACTTGTTTATGCATCCACGCGAGCCAGAACGTTGGATATCAGAACAAGAGTATGTGTTAGGTGCCATTTTCTCCTCCTGCGCATGGTCCGATCGTCACAGTTCGTTTAGTGCCACTAATAATAGCAATACGGATGGCCGCTTAGGCCCACATTTGTCGTTAGACTGGCACCCAATTCAACAAGTTGCGGCATTTGTGCTAGAGCGTTTTCCACATTGGGGTGGCGCAGAGGAGTTTGTAGAAACGTGGGAACGACAGGTGGGTATTGTGCTTGGCACCGCCTCTCCATCGCACCAGCGTGTGTTTAACTTTCCTGAGGAGGGTCTCGTGTTTTCCTCGGATATGGAGAGCGGTAACTTGGCACGGGTAGAGCGGACCAAGAGTGCAACATATCAGCAGTCCTATACGCTATGGTTGGAGCCAGAATTAGGGTGTGCGCAGCGGCTTTGGTTTCGATTTGCCATTTCAGGTGCAAGACCTCACTGCGCCATTTCCTTGAGGGTTGTTAACATTCAGCCCAATACGAAGCTGTACGCCCGAAATGGCATGCGTCCGGTGTGGCGTGCAGGAAATTCCCCGCGCTCCTGGACGCCGGTGGGAGCGTGCGTGTATCGCACCATCAACAATGATGAGGATGGGGAGTTGTCGTTTGTTATTCTTCCTCGCTCTAGTGATGTGGTTCATGTGGCTTTCTGCGTCCCCTACACCTACGCCGACCTTCTGTGCCACATTGTCAATTGGCATCACCTGGTAAAAAAAAGCTTTGGTGGGATTCGGTTCGAGGAGCGGGTTTTGTGCCACACGCAGGACGGTCGCAAGTTGCACCTGCTCATCATCACGAGTACCACCGTCAAGGCACTCATCACGCGCAACGGTCAACGTGAGAAGGAGGGAAATAGCTTGTCGCGGCAGACCATTCTTGGCCCGTATGCACACTTTGAAACTGGTAAGAAAGTCGTACTGGTGAGTGGGAGGGTGCACCCTGGTGAGGTGACGGCGTCGCATGGTATTCATGGCGTTATTTCGTTTCTTCTCTCGCGCGACCCACACGCGGCGCTTGTTCGGGAGTACTTTATTTTCTATATTGTTCCCATGCTGAACCCCGACGGTGTTGCACGTGGCCACTCCCGGCTGGATCAAAACGGCTTTAACCTGAATCGGTGCTACAATAACCCCAATCCACGAGTACAACCCACTGTGACGGCACTGCGAAACGTGTTCGAAAATCTGAAGCAAACTTACCGTGACCGGTTCTTTATGTACATGGATTTTCACTCACACGCCTCACAGTCCAGTGGATTTATGTTTGGCAACTGCCTTCCCGAGACGGTGCAGCACTGGAACATGGTGTTCCCCAAGATTGTGAGCCTCCATGCAAAAAACGTATTTTCCTACCAACTCTGCCGCTTTGGGCGGGGGCACATGGTAAGCAAGGAAGGCAGTTCGCGTGTGCTCTTTGGCGAGGGTCTCATTCACTCCTACACCGTGGAGCTCACCCACTTCTCAAGCGACCGAATGTTCGTGGACGGCGCCTCTGACGAAGAAAATAACATCAGCGATAGAAATCGTGCGACGGCGAGCGCTAGTGGCGACGGCGACATGTGGGAGGCGAACTACGCCAATACGCAAGAAACGCGGTTGCGCTCTGCCACAGCGGTGCGGGGCGAAAAGGGCGCAGCACCGCAATCGACCACGGCGCGATCCCGTTTGACGCGAGGATGGAAACCGCGGCCCTCTCGACCAGGCGGCTCCAAACAATGTGTGGAAAACGGCGGACCCCGCAGTAGAAGTGGCGATAGAAATAGTTCTGAAAGGCATGACCCGCTGCGTTGTATTCAGGTTCCATGCATCCTTTCGCAAAGCGCCGAGGTGGGTCGCGCATGTGTTTTGGCGCTTTTGGACTACTGCGCCGTTGGCAACTACGCCTCCCCCCAGTTTGCCGCAAGTGGTGGACTTGAACGTACGCTGCGGGAGGTGAAGCGAAGCATGAACCAGACCTTCACCCCAAGGCCTGCTGCAAACCGCTTGCAGCTTTTCTATAAGCAGCGCTAACGATGCAAGCTATAGAAGAGGGAGGGCAACGAGCTTGTAAACTCTCGTCTGTAGATGGAAAGGAGGTGCGGGGAGTCCCTTTGATTGGGTTCAGTCCCCCCCCCCTCCCCCACTTTTTTGCCTGTACACGCCAGCACCCCTTTAACCCCTTTAGTCCTTGCTTTCGTCTGCCACCCACCACCACCGCAATCACCGCGGAGGAGAAAAGAAACAACAGCAACAAGAACATTGAGAAGGGGCCACTTTTTTTTTTTTGCTTGCTTTTTGTTCCCGTTTTGGTTGTTTTTTGATGGAGTATTGTTGTTGCTGTGTCGTACAATCTCTTTTTGTGTGCTGTCATTCAGTGCGGGGCGCTCTGCCAATACTACTACGAACAGGCATAATATGTATCTAATGCCTAGACATGTGTGTATACATGCGCGTTCTGTTTGTGAATAGCCATTATATTTTATGCGTGGTGGTGTGTGTGTTTTTTTTGTTTTTCATGTCGTTGTTCACTTCCTTGTGTTACTGGCGATGGCCGTCTTGCTTTAATCTTGAGGGGTTGTTACAGATCACCTTTTGTTGCCTGTTTTTTTTTTTGGATCGTTGTGCATCTCTGCTTCTTATTATTGTTTGACGGGTTTCTCTTTCCTCCGTCCCCCCTGATTTTCTTTTTGTTTTTTGCTGTTGTTTCTGGTCTCATTGAGCCTCTGAAATGTGGGTGTATTTACCCCCACCCTTTCTTCCTTCCCCGCCGTGCGTATATGTGTTTACGCATGTGTGCTTCTGCACGTCGGGTCACTGTTTGGTAGAGTCAGTTGCTGGATGAATTTGGGGCATGCAAGGCGAGTTTGCCCCTTCTTCCTTCTGTTACTTGTTGCAGTGTAACGTGCCATCCATTGTATTTACCTCTCTCTCTCTCTCTCTCTTTGTATGTGCGTGTCCGCGCCTCCGCCTTCCCCAACTGAAAGGGGGACCGTCGTGGCCCTGCTGGTTCTCTTCTGTGTGCTGTCTTTCCTCTCGAGACCCCCCTCCCATCGTCTCTCTCTGCGGGTCTCTCTCGTCTGGGCGTTTGGTAGGAGGAGGGCCGCGTGTGCGCAGGTGTGCTGCTCTGTCTGCGTGGGCTGCCGTGCGAGTGAAAGGCTGGGAGCGAAAAGGCGAGTGAAGCAAACGCTCCTCCGCGTGTGTGTGTGAAGGGGCTTCATCGCGGCAAAGGAGGAAAAAAGTATATATATATTAATAATAATACGGGAGTCAAGCGAGTGAGGAAACGGACGTCATGGAGTCCTCGGCACCGACGGATCAGAGCACACGCGAGCAGAACGAGCATGAAAACGCTCCGGCTGCATCAGATGTGACTATGGAGCGGGAGGCGGAGTATCTTTCAATGAGCCAACAGCAGGAAGACAGAAAGCGGAGGCCCCAAGTAATGGGTGCCCCAGAGAACGAGGAGCAGGAGGGTGAGGGAGAGGAGGCCGCATCGTGCGAAGATCCAAGTGGGCGCGACAGTGATAGCGCCAGTAGTGAGGAGGAACAGGAGGAGGAGGCGGCCCCGTTTGCCACGGACGAGGAGGCCAACGAGGCCCGCGCTGTCGGCCTCTCTCACTACAACAGGCAGCGCTACGAGGATGCGCTTGACATTCAGTACCGTGTAGTGCGGCACTTTGAGAAAAAGTATGGCGCAACGGCCCCCATTTGTGGGGTCTACTTTCTTGATTACGGTCTCTCGCAACTGCGTGTCTTGCAGTCAAAGAGCACCGTGGAGGCAGCGCTGCAGCCGCTCGATCAAGACGCACTTGAGGCGTGTTTTATCAACCTTGATGTTGCCCGCGTATGCTTTCAGAAGCAGGAGGAGCAACGGGGAGAAGGTGATATAGAGGTGCAACTTCGCCTGGCGGAGGTGCACGACAGCATTGCCCAGTTGCATGTGGAACGCGAGGACTTTGACAGTGCTCTGAAGGAGTACGAGAGTGAGTTGTTGACGTACCGCTTTATTCAGCAGGAGGCGCCACAGTCCCTGCCATACCGTAGTCTCGCCGCCGTGCTCTACGGCATTGCGGACTGCTACATGAAGGAGGGCGACTTTGAGGGGGCAGAGGAGCGTTTCACGGCGGCGTTGGAGGAGTTGGCAACATTTCCTGCCGGCGCGGTTCCCGCGGAGCTTGTGAAGGAGCTGGAGGAGCTGCGCGAGGATGCGCGGGAGATGAAGGGCGGCAAGTACAAGGAGCTGCAGGAGTGCATTCAGGCCCAATTTGCGGTGAAGGAGGCGGAGGCGTTGCCCACAGCGCAGGAGTTCTACGGCGAAGACGCGGAGGACGAGGAGAGCCGCAAGAATCACCCGTATGTCTCACGGCTGCCGGCAGAGTCGGAGTACTCGGCCCTCTCGATGCCGCAGTCCCTGACAAACCCAGTGCAGTGGAATGAGCACAGCAACAGCATGTCACTTTCGCTCTTTCCCCCGCAAGTCAACGGCCGTGGCTCGGAGGCGTCGAACAGTCAGCCGCTGCATCATGTCGTGGCGCGGCGGAAGCCGAAGCGACCATTGAGCCAACAACCGTCGTCCCATCAGCAACAGGGAGAACGCGGTGGCGTCAGTGGCACCGGTGAGCCAGAGGCCAAGCGCGTAAAAACGGAGTCCTGCATACCTTAGAGCATTTCTGGGTCGGGGCCCAAAAGGGGGAACTTGAGAGGGATATCGGAAGCAAGCATGTGCTTGGCCGGAAGTGAATCTTGGAGAGCGACGCGGTGACGGGGTAGAGCAGGGGAGAGACGATCAGCGGCGAGCAAAAGTTGATGCACGAGCGACCTCCGCGCGCACGGCACGACAGGGACAAACCCAACCGACAGACAATCACATACACACATACAAGCTCATAGAGGAATCAAGAGGATAGAGAAAAGGAAGAAACTGAAGGGAAAAGGTGGACCAAGCAGAACGTGAACGGGAGGCGGTTCCGTGGGAAACAACTTAGGGGGGAAAATTCGCATGCTTACGGAGGGCTGACACCGAAATGACCACCCAAATCATTGCATTGCGACCCAACCTTGAGTGTGCTCTCTTTTTCCCCCTTTGCAGGCATCAGTGCTACTTCTTGCATGCCGCAACGTTGGGAGCGGAGGACAATTAGTGGGGGGCAGCGGTGCTGCGCGGGAAGGCGAATCGCCCCCGAGGGAAGCTGCCATGCGATGTCGTCCCTACCTTATTTTGTTTACTATGCAGTTCTAGGGGAGGCGTTCGAAAGCGCAAGCCTTTGGATGCGAGGCTTCTCTGTTGCTGTTGTTGTTGTGGTTTTCTTTTTTTGCATAGCACCTTGCTCCTCTTTTTCGTAAAATCTTATATGTACATATAATGATTATTTACTTTTCTTTGCGGTAATACTCCCTACGGACTCTGAGTCTACTGCCGCTACTGCACCCACGTTGGACGACTGGAGTGGAAGACGAAGACGCACATGCGTACAGACGATAAGAGGAACATGAATTAAAAAAAAAGAAATGGGTGTGACGGCACATGCTTCACTGCATGATGCCACTGTCGTGTGCGGATATGTGTGTGCGTGTGTGTGTGTGTGTGTGTATGTGTCTCTATTCCTCTCGGTTCTGGTGTGCTGTGTTACACCTCGCTTGGCTTCATACTTGTTGTTCTTTAGGGGCCCGTTCCACGCGCTGTCCACTCCACAACTCGATGGCGGCGCAGGCATCGCGGGGGGTGATGCGTTGCCTCTCGGTGACCGACTCTCACTGTCATGTGAAGCTGGCAGCCTCACTTCCTGGGGATACGTCTGTGGGCGAGGTGGCAAATCCGCCGCCCTTCACATGCCACATTGCGCGCGCTGTGATGTGCGGCACACACCCCGATGTTGACTGGGATATCGTTGAGGCAGCGGCGGCGCAGGCGTCTCGTGTGCGAGTGCCCCCCGCTCTGAGCGTCACGGCGGAACCGACAGTGCCGCCTGTCGTCATCCCAGGCTTCGGTATCCACCCGTGGTTTGTGCCTCATGACTCGGGTTCCGCGGCCGGCAACGGTGCCGCTGTGGGCCCCGTGAAGGGCAGAAATGAACGCGAACGGAGCGCTGAGGAACTCTTGTCTCTTCTCGAAGCTGCACTACAACACCACCCAGAGGCGATAGTGGGTGAGATTGGACTTGACAAGCTGCGGGGACCACCCGAGGCGGTGCAACTGCCGATCTTCGTGGCGCAGCTGAGGTTGGCGGCGAAGTATGGACGCCCCGCCTCTCTGCATTGCGTGCGCAGCTTTGGGAAGGTGCTGAAGGCGTTGCAGGATCTCCCCGCAGAGGACACGCCGCCCGCCATTGTGCTGCATGGGTTTACCGGCTCCGTGGACTTTGCTCGGTCAGCGATGATGATACGTAAACGAAGGTCGGCGTTAAAGGGGGGTGGAAGTCGCTCAGGGACGAAGACAGAGCCGCTTCGCATTTTTTTTGGCGTGGGCGCCGTTACCAGTCTGCGGGTGAAGGACTTTGCGGAGAAGACCCTGCCATTTCTCTTGCGGGAGGGGCGGATGCTGCTGGAGACGGATGCCCACCACACACTCCATCTGCCACCGCAGGGCGACGGTGGTGCGGGGGCGGTCCACGCCTCCGCGCTCGGGAGCGGCGGTGATGGCGGAAACGGGCTCACGGAGATGACTGCAACACACACAACAGCGACGGAGTGCGCGTTGGCGTGGGATGAGGGAAGCTGTGAGCAGCTGGCACATCTAATGACGCGGGTGAGTGCGTGCCAGGGGGACGATGCGGACATCTCCATCGTCGAGGAACTTTTGGCTAAGTGCGAGGAGGCCTTCGCAGACGCCTTTTTATTATCTGCTCCCACTCCCGCAGCAGCCACACAGGCGGAGTGAGGGATAGTGAGAGAGAGAGAGAGACATGCTTACATGCGTGTAGCTGATTGCCCTGCATTCCTCACTTACGTGTTTGTGAAGCGCCTTCGCCTGCCGAAGCCTTTTCGTCGCCCCACACCTCTTCGTTTGCGCGTGTGGGTCAGTTGCACTCCGTCCTTGGCGTCTTTTTTGTTTGTTTCGTTGATGTTTTCTGTCACTCTTCTTTCGGCATCCTACACGCCATGGATGGGAAGACGGATTCTCTCTCGCTGCCGGAGGGGCAGAGAGAGAGGGAGAGGGAGCAAGCGTGTGCAGCGTTTTTCTTTAAAACACATACACACACGAACACACACACGTCCGCGTTCAGCTCACAATCACAGCAGTCCGCAGAGCCTTGGGGCGGTGACGAAGAAGACATTTAGCCACAAAAAAAAAAGAAGAAGAAAAAGCAATCAAATCGTTGAAACAAGAAAATAACAACAACTAAATAATAATAAAACGACTTGCTCTCCTTTCTGGCTGTGAACGGGAGAGGGAGCAGTCTTGTATCGGTTCCTGAGCACCCATTATCCCGTCATTTGCGTAGTTTGTTGCCGTATTTTGGTACTAAAGAGCACCGACGTTCATTAATCTCACTCGCCGTGGCTTTAGGGCGTGGCGCGGCGAGGCGAGACGGCGCACACGTGCACGTGCGCCATCATCGCTGACGATCGCTGTTGTCAGTGCTCCTACGGTTTTCACTGTTATCGTTAATTCACACAAACGGAGGGAGCGGCGGAACGAAGGACGAGGGAAACGGGAGAAGACGCCAGCGATGCCGCTTCTCCACTTCTATCACCAGCTGGATGCGACGATGATGGTGATGCGGCGGATGCCGTCACCACCACCACCACCACCACCAGCACCGCCACCGCCAACAACAACAACAGCCCTGGAGGCGACGGCAGGCGCAGCGTACAGGTCTCACGCCCCCGACAGCCGCCATGTTCGCACCCCTATTCGCAGTGACCACAGCAATACTGACCGAATGGGGGGCCTCTTCCACAGAGACGATGCCTTGGCTTTACTCGTCGCCGCAGTGGAGCTTAACGACAATGGTGGCGCGGTGTTGAGTGTTGCGGACTGAGCGTTTCAAAGACGAAGGCTGCAGCGTGCGTGTGTGTGTTTGTGCCTCGGCTTCTGCAAGCACGCCTCCACGCATCAGAGGCGATGCCTCCCACTACCCCAAAAACACCAAAAGAACGCACACGAAAATAGTCGTGACACAACTGCATCGTCACCCCGCTTCCAAAAACACGCAAAAAAAAATGAACCGCTCCTTTGCGCCTAGCCCCCTTCATTTCTTCTGTTTTTTTTGTTTTCATCGCGGGTATTTATTTGTTTATTTATTATTTCTTTGTTATTTATGTTTTTTTTTATGGCTTCACTTTTTTTCCCGTATTTTTTTCTTATTATTTCTCGCCTTGGGTGAGGGTGTCTTTTTATATATTTCCTAAGGCATCTGTCTTTGGTTCAGATATGAGCGCCTCGTGTGCGGTCCTGGGCCCCCTCCATTGCGAGGTTGGCTGCGGTGACGGGTACACGGTGGTCTCTTCACGCGCCTTTTGGGTGCGGGGGGATCACGACGGTGGACCCCTTCATCTGCCCCCTCCTCCTTGCCTTTCCCAGCCGTGGCGTAGATGCATTCACGCCAATGTTCATATATATATATATGTATATGTGTGTGTGTGTGTGTGTATCTCACTGCCTGCAAGGGAAAAAGGCCTTGCGTGTATGCATGGTTCTCTTTGTTTTTGTTTTTTGCACATTTTGTTGTTGCGTCTGCCGTGGTTTCATTTTTATTTTTTTTGACGTAACCTGCAGGACCAGTTTCCTGTGAATTACGACTGCAATTCCCACTTAACTTACCCTTTCACACTGCACTTTTGTCCGTTGTTCGGTGTACTGGTGCATATGCGAGTTTGCCGTTTATTTATTGTGGTTTTTGGGTCTTTTTCAGTGGGCGGATTAATTATTATTGTTATTATTATGTTTTTTTTTTCCTCCCTTGCATGTGTGTGTGTCGCTTCACTGGGAAAGGGATGAGAGAAGGAAAAGAAACACTACCCGAGAGAGAAAGAGAGAC